CTAGAGCGTAGCAAGATCGACCTCTGCCGTGCAAGAGACGAGATGGGCTGGCTGCAAGTCGAAAGAGTTAGGCCGCGGCTTCAAAGCCGTTCTTTGTGGCGGGCCGAAAACTACAAGTGGTGTGGCCGTGATCGTGTCTCAGCGATTTCGCGATACGATTGTGAGCGTAGGTTTCGACGACCGTTTAATGAAGATTGTTGTCGCTATTGAACAACGACTGTACCACTTCTTCTCTGCATATGCCCCACAAACTGGATGCTCTGAGCAGTCCAAGGACGAGTTCTGGGCTCTGCTGGACGAGAAGACGGCTGAAGTGCCACCAAAAGACGGTATTATTGTAGCCGGCGATCTAAACGGACACGTGGGCGCTGCAAAAGACGGCTATACTTGTCATGGCGGATTCGGTTACGGTTCACGGAACGATGGTGAGCGAGTCCTTGAGTATGCAGAGTCGCATAACCTCGTCATTCTGAACACAAGATTTCGTAAACGTGACTCTCATCTCATCACGTTCTACAGCGGGAGTACCAAGACACAAATAGACTTCGTACTCATCAGGCATGGCGACCAAGGACTCGTGACAGACGCTAAGGTAGTACCGTATGAAACGGTTGCCACGCAGCACCGCCCACTGATCTGCACGCTCAGACTTGTAGCTCCCAGACGAGGCAGGCAGAACGATGCGGTCCTGAAAGAATAAAGTGGTGGCGACTGAAAGAGCGGGAGGCAGCTGTGATTTCTCGTATTCGACTACCTGAAGTCACAACTGTTCAGGAGACCTGGAACGAAGCCGTTAATTCTATAATCCAGGCCGCCCGCTCCGAACTCGGCACAACGAAGCCTGGACGGCGGAGGATTGACAAAGAGGCATGGCTCTGGACGGACGACGTCAAAGCGGAGGCTGCTTGCTCAAACTATCGTCCAATTCGCCTTCTCTCGCACACTATGAAAATCTTTGAGCGAATTGTTGACGCCCGCGTTCGTGATATCGTCCAGCTTTCCACCAATCAGTGTGGCTTCGTGGCGGGTTGTAGCACCGTCGACGCCATACATGCCGCTCGCCTATTGCTGGAGAAACACCGTGAGAAGCGAAAGCCCGTGCATGTAGCTTTCTTAGACCTGGAGAAGGCATTCGATCGTGTGCCACGTGATGTTATATGGTACGCTTTGAGGCGGCACGGCGTGCCCGAAGAGCTAATTGAGTGGGTGCGCATCCTTTACTCATGCCCAGGGAGCCAAGTTCGCTCACCAGCGGGTGTCTCAATGGAGTTCCCCATCACCGTCGGGGTACATCAAGGCTCTGCGCTCTCCCCACTTCTTTTCGTTGCCGTCATGGATGCCATCTCACGAGATCTTCAGAAGGAAGTGCCTTGGACCCTGCTTTACGCTGATGATGTGATGCTTGCTTGTGAAGATAAGAGCGCACTGGAACAGCAGGTGCAAGCTTGGGCCGAGCGTCTGGCGAAGTTTGGACTCAGGTTGAACGTCAACAAGACCGAGTACCTGACAACCGACCCAAATAAGCATTAAGATCGATGACACGGTGCTCAAGCGCACGGAAACATTCAAGTATCTCGGATCAGCACTTGCGTCCGAACTCGGAAGTGAGCGCACGAGTGAGTGCGGCATGGTCTAAATGGCGATCCATGTCTGGGATCCTTTGCGACAAGAAAATGCCAGAGCGTTTCAAGTCAAAGATCTATCGTACTGTCGTCCGACCTGTCGCGTTATATGGTGCCGAGTGCTGGCCCGCGACCAAAGAAGTTGAGGCTCGCCTTGGTGTGATGGAGATGAAGATGCTGCGCTGGACGGGCGTCACGCGATCGGACCGCATCTGTAATGATGTCGTGCGCAAGAAGTATGGTGTAGCCCCCATAGCAGAGAAAATTGCGTGAAACGCGCCTTCGATGGTACGGGCACGTACTTCGCGCGAAGGCTGACACCGTCCGTAAAACTGCTCTCGAACTCGAGGTACCAGGAAAGCGGCCAAAGGGGCGTCCCAAACAGCGCTGGCTCGACACGCTGCATACCGACTTGAAAATAGCCGGCATTCACCCCGATCAGGCAATAGGGAAAAGAGGCTTAGTTATATCAAAATAGTAAACCCCGCCATGGAGCGGGACAAACGCTGAAGAAGAATAAGAAGAACACGATCGTTTAGGTTGACCCACTGAAAGTAGGGAAGGAAAACAATTTTGAGAAGAATGTAGTGGAAGGGGGAAAAAATCGTGGAGCAGAAGAAAAAGGCAATGATCTCACATAAAAGTGTTACTAAGGATGAAAAATGATTCGTCAAAGCGTGTTTCACAGGCTATCGAGCATAACTTCGATGTATTGCACATCACTTGGATTTTACTTACTCGCTGACGAAAGGCTAGCTGCGCATTGAATACGGCGTAAAATGTAGCCACTATGCGATCTTACCTGTAGCAAAAACTGCACAAAGAGCGATAGTCCCCTGAGCATTCAGAGCATTGAAGGTCATAGCGATAGGGTCAGCAGGTTGGACGTTTGCTGTTATAGTTATGATGGTAGGCTTACTTTTCGACTCCAATGCTCTCCAAGAATTGCATTGCATAGTGTAATATAATAGAGAGAAACACAACGGAGCATAATATGACGTGGTAACATGGTGCTGCTGAAGATTGGCAGAGTGGAGATTGTGGACTGGCACTTGCTTTTCCAACTAGAACGCGTTCTGACGGTCAAATGCAGTATCGGCTCTCTCCCACACAACCAACCCTTAAAATTCCCCTTTCGAGATGGTTAATTCCATGCCGGACTTGACTGTGAGGATAAAACTCTGCTCTGCACATCGCCAGGCCCCGCAAGTGATTGAGGTGGCCATAGTGCACTGAAAAGGCACTACGATTTGAATGGAAGTGGAAGCATGCCATCTCACAGAAGGGAAAAGTTGGTCGTGGATGCTTCATCTTCTCAGCGGTTGCTCCGCGGTCTCTCTGTAAAGCAGATTTTTTTTCTCCACACTGTCCTCTATGCCGACTGCTGTTATTAGTGAAGCTGATTACTACTGAGTACTGGGGCTGTCTGCTGTTGCAGCCTACGTAACGGTTGACTGACATTCCATTTAAGTAACTCGTATTCTATATTCGCGGCTGCGTCGAAGTTTCTGTTCATCGATTCTATTGAAGTTTGGTGATCTACCTTAGAGATCAAGCGACATCCCCTGTGGCTGGGGTCTCTGATTATCTATAGCCACCATCACAGGTGAATTGGTTCCAGACGTGTTTTTTTTCTGATTGCTTGTAATGGATACACCGCTTGCCCCGACTCCAATTCAGGGACGACGAGGAAAAAAACAGGATAGATCCATCTAGCCCCACTGCGGACATGGATTTTGATCGCGCGATCAACCTTGTTGCCAATGACGCCTCATTGCCGCCTCACTTTGAAGACGGTTATGAATTTCTTAGTCGATTTAAAGAATCAGATTGGATATGTCCTAGCTAGAAATAAGGAACTCCAAGAGGAAAATGAGAGTGTCCGCCGGAAAAAATAGTGAGTTGATAAGTGAAGTAAACAGCCTCAATTCTCAGATAATTGTTTTGAAAAAGGCTTTGTCTTCTCATGAAAATTTCAATCAGTCTCAAGTTTCTTCTCAGCCTAGTACGTTGGTAAACAATTTTGAGGAAGTGGAGCGTAGGCGCTCAGTTGTTATCATAGGAGTTAAGGAATCTTCTGCCGCACTTTCTTCTGATCGAGTTCTGTATGACTCCTCTTGCATCAGGCAAATACTTGATTACTCATCTGTCGATTATCTATCTACCGAATGGGACGCTTTGTACCCAATAAAGCAAGACTCTTGAAAGTTGTTTTCCCCTCGTATTTCTTTGCTTCGTTGTTGGTTAAACGTGCCCCTCAGCTCAAATATTTTCGAGAGAAGGGAATTTTTATTAGACCTTCTCTGTCTAAATCAGAACGTGACCTTTTGAGAGTTCAAAGACTTACTCGTGTAGCGACTCATGTTTCACCTTCTGTTTGTGTTAATAACGGAGAAGCGGAGCCTTCTTCTACTGTTGGTAATAGTACTGCCCTTAGTCAAGCCCCAGGTCCAATTTCTGATTCTTCCTTCATTCAGTGTTGTGAAAAACATGGGAAGCCCAAGGCTAAGGCCTTTATGGAAACCGAACCATCGATACTTTGTGTTGTGGCCAATATAAGATCTATTATGAGGAATTTGGATGCTTTGACTCTACTCATTAAAAGTGGCATTGACATTATTGCTCTAACTGAGACCTGGCTAAATCCGGCGGCTGACTTGCCTCCACTGTTGAGCGATGCTTGTTCCAATTATACAGTGATCAGATGCGACCGAGATTCTGCAAGGGGAGGTGGTGTTGCTATGTTGGTTCGCAACTCTCTCGCCCCAGTTGTTATATTCAGTGAGTCCGCCCCAAGGGGTTATGAAATTCTCTGTTGTGATGTACGCACTGGTCTCAGCTTGACACGATTTGTACTAGTTTATCGAACCCCCAGTTGCACAGTTGCCTTGACTGATCAAATGCTCAAAGCTATCAGTGATGTTATATCTTGCAGTTGTGTTGTGACAGGAGATTTTAATTTCCCCGAGTTACAGTGGGATAGTTCGCCGAAAATAAGTGGTAGTTCCAGTGCCCTCGATTTCAGGACATTTTGTCAAAACTTGTGGTCTTACTCAGCTGGTTCGTGACTGTACTAGGGGTGGACACCTTTGTGAAGTCCCCGCTAGGCTTTAGTGATCACTACGCACTACATTTCAAAGTAAATGCGTGCGCACCGACTCAGCCTACAGTATCCAGACGCAATTTCGCATTAGCAAACTACAGGAGCATTTTGTCATACCTCGAAGGTGTTGATTGGTATGGGTCTTTGAATAGCGTTCAGTCGGTAGATTCTAAGTATGAGCTATTCCTAGCAATTCTCCATCATGCCATTGATCTTTTCGTGCCGGCTAGTGCGAAGAACTCAAGGGAGTCGTTCCTACCACAATACCTACAGAAGTTGATGCACAAGAGGGAACATGTTTGGAAGAGAGCGAAACTTTCTGATACCATAGAGGATTGGGAATCCTTCAAAAGCATTAATAAGTCTTTTGAGTCCAAACTACGTAAATATAATGCGTCTATTGAGAAACGAATAGTATCATCAGGCTGCAAGAGTGGTTTTTACAAGTTACTTAAGTTCCGCTTGAAGCGTAAGCCAAAGTTACAAGCTCTGCGTGCACCCAACGGGGAGCTTATAATCGACGACACAGAGCGAGCCGAAGTGTTGGCCTCCGCTTTTGAGACCCATTTTGGAGAGAGTAGTGCACACGTTGACCTTACAGTGGCTAGAGAGGAATTCCCCCAAATGGAAGATTCCGCCTGGTTTCGAAGGGATGATATTTTAGAGACTCTGCTTAAGTGGCCTCGTTCAGAATCTGTTACTCCAGACTTCATTCCCTTATCGTTCATAAAAAAGGTTGCTCATCTCATAAGCAGTCCACTGGAGTATATTTTCAATCTGAGCTTCATGAATTCTGAAGTGCCTTCTAGGTGGATCCAGTCTCTTATAACACCCATACCGAAAAAACCACCATACACGGAGGCTATGAATTTCAGACCGATTAGTATAACATCGGTATTCGCCCGGCTGTTCGAGAAAAACTTGAAAAAACAAATCGAGGTCCACCTCCACAAATATTCGGTCATCTCTCCTCGTCAGCATGGGTTTCAGAGGGGGAGGTCAACGGTAACGGCAATGGTGCAGGCGCTCAATGACTGGACAAAGTACCTAGATGAAGGCAAGAATGTAGATGTGATTTATCTCGATTTTTGTAAAGCCTTTGATAAAGTACCACACGCCAAGTTGCTTCATAAAATGCGAAGGGTTGGGATCCATCCTCGAATAATCGCTTGGCTTACATGTTTCCTCTCCGAAAGAAAGTTTGTTGTGCGGGTCAACTCGTCCTTTTCAAAGCCAATAGTTGTGTCCACTGGTGTATCAAAAGGTGGCGTGTTTTCTTCGATTCTTTTCATATTTATACCTACGATTAACTCAGTCTAATCTTCCAGCCTAGTGAAGTTTTGTGCATTTGCTGATGATCTTGAACAATAATATGTGGAACGAGGTGGTTGCATCCACACTACAGAATGTGATTGATACAGTACTTGAGTGGTCACAGCAATGGGATCTGCCACTTTCTGACGTTAAATCGAGGGTACTCCACTTAGGGTCTAGCAACGCCAGGCACTCCTATACCATGAACGGCACAGTTCTTAGCAGTGCACATGAAGTGCATGACTTGGGATTTCTGGTCTCAGATAGTTTGAATTTTGATGCACATTGCTCAATGATAGCCAACAAAGCCACTGCATTAACACAAACTTGTTCAGAGCTCTTTCGACCAGAAACGTATCGGTGCTTCTTCTAGCCTACAAAACTTTCATAAGACCTATTGTTGAATATGGCACTCCTGTGTTTAGCCCTTATAAGCTTAAAGTGATAAATATGTTGGAGAGGGTTCAAAACAACTTCACAAGGAAACTTATGATACGCGTCCTTGGGTTTTCTTACGACCAAATTCCCTGTAGTGAAAGCTAGGAATAGGAATTTTGGACTGAAGCACTCTTGCAAACAGGAGAAAGCGAAATGATCTTTTACTTCTACACAAACTCATGCGCGGCGAAAGTGTCAAGTTGGAAAGCCTCGTTCCGCTGAGACCCTCTATTACCCGAGGTAGTGCTAATAAATATCATCTGGGCAAAGCAAAACTAAACTGTAGGCGCAAATTTTTCACCTTCAGAGCGATTCCTCTTTACGAAAAGCTAAGTAAGAAAGGGCCAATACCATCTAATTGCAAAACGTTCAAGAGACTATTAGACAAATTTTTGAGTCCATGAGGCCACATATCGCTTCCTATGCTGGTAAACGAGTCCATAGGGCCTTGTAGTGTTTTCCTATGTTGCTCCTTGCTCTCGCGACGCGTATACTGTTATCCTACGTCATCTGTTGATTTTTTTCAATGATCACTCCTAATTGTGTTGTGTTGAGTTTTGAGACTTTTATTTTGTTTCTGCTGTTTTGATGCCTACACACAAATATTTGTAGTAATGTGTAATAAATCTTCTTCTTATTCTTCAGCGTTTGTCCCGCTCTGTAGCGGGGTCCGCTCTCCTGATTTTGTTACGCCATTTATTCCGGTCGAATGCCTGATCAGGGTGAGCACCAACTATCTTTAAATCCGCGTGCAGCGTGTCAAGCCAACGTTGCCTGGGGCGTCCTCTCGGTCGTTTGCCGAGCACCTCGAGCTGGAGACCAGTTTTGCAGACGGTGTCCGCCTTCGCGCGAAGTACGTGGCCATACCATCGGAGACGAGATTCTCGCATTTTATCAACTATGGAAGCTACGCCAAACTTCTTGCGTATGTCATCGTTGCAAATCCGATCCATGCGGGTGACACCGGCCGTCCAACGTAGCATTTTCATTGTAACACAGAACTCCAGTCATCGAGTCGCTCATGCTGCACTCACACGAGAGTTCACCTCTGAGGTCAGACTGCCATCGGACACAATTTCTGATCCAAGATACTTGAAGGCTCTTGTGCGTGTGAGCTCGATGCCACTGATCCTAATGGAATCGACTCATTTGTATCGGTCGTCAAGTACTCGGTTTTCTTGATGTTCAACTTCAGTCCGAATTTTGTCAGGCGATCAGACCAAGCTTGCACCTGCTGCTCGAGTTCTTTCTTATCTTCACTGGCCAGCACCACATCATCTGCGTAGAGAAGCGTCCAAGGACTCGGTTTCTGGAGATCTCGCGAGATTGCATCCAAGACGACCACGAAAAGGAGTGGAGAGAGCGCAGAGCCTTGATGTACTCCGACCGTGATGGGAAAGTCCTGCGAAGTGCCTGATGGTGCATGCACGCGGCTCTTTGAGCTGGAGTACAGGATGCGCACCCACTCAATAAGCTCTTCCGGAACGCCGTGTTGCCGCAAGGCGTACCATATAACTTCACGCGGAACACGGTCGAATGCCTTTTCTAGGTCCAGAAAAGCTAGATGCAGTGGTACTTGCTTCTCACGATGTCTCTCCAGCAGAAGACGCGCGGCATGTATGGCGTCGATGGTGCTACAGCCTGCCACAAAGCCGCACTGATTGATAGAAAGCTGGACGATTTCGCGAATACGACTGTCAACAATTCGCTCAAAGATCTTCATACTGTGTGACAGCAGGCGAATTGGACGGTAGTTCGAGCAGTCCGCAGGGCTGCCCTTCTTCTTCCAAATCGGAATCGTCGTGCTCTCTTGCCAGTCCTTGGGCGTCTTCTTCTCAGCAACGACCTGATTGAAGAATCCGTCAACCATTGTGCAGGGTACCAGCACCGTGCCTTCCACAAGTCGGCTGCCACGTCGTCAGGTCCTGTTGCTTTGCCTGACTTCATCTTTCTGAGAGCCGCCTTCGTCTCTTCTACGGTTACTTTCTGAACGGGACCGTATACTGGGGGGACGAAAGGGATGGCCGGGTGCGCATACTCTACGGTTGAAATATTCTCAAAGAAGTCGTGCCATCGCCTCAGCACCCTCTTTCGGTCCATCAAAAGGCGGCCATGCTCGTCGTTAACGCCAGGAAATTTCTCGATATCTTCGGTCTGACGATGCCGAGCCTTGGCAAGTCGGTAGAGGTGCCGCTCACCATCACGTGAATCGAGTTCCTTACTGACATCTTCGAAGTGGGCGGCCTTCGCTGCAGCCACAGCCTTCTTCGCTACATTCTTCGCTTCTTTGTACTTACGCCAGCTACTAGCTGACTTGTCGGCAAGAAACGCGTGGTAGCGCCTCTTCTTCTCGCGAACCGTTTCTTTGACATTGTCGGTCCATAACCACGGCTGCTTATCAATTCTACGCCTTCCCGGCTTCGTGACGCCAAGTTCGGAACGAGCGGCCTCATGTATCGCCTTAGAAGCACTTTTCCAGGTCTCATCGACAGTCGTGACGGTGGGAAGTCGTATACGAGAGATCACAGCTGCCTCCTTTTCTTTCAAGCGCCACCATTTGATCCTCTCGGGACCACATCGCTCGACCCGTTTGGACCGGAGCTTTGCGATCTTTAGCGTGCAGATTAGTGGGCGATGTTGTGTGGCAACTGTCTCGTACGGCACCGTCTTCGCGTCCGTGATGAGCCCTTGGTCGCGGTGTCTAACAAGGACAAAGTCTATCTGCGTTCTGGCACTCCCACTGTAGAAGCTGATAAGGTGGGAGTCTCGTTTGCGAAACTTCGTATTCACGATGACCAGGTTATGGGCCTCTGCATAGTCGAGAATTCTTTCACCATCGGCGTTACGTGACCCATAACCGAAACCACCATGACAACTGTAGCCGTCTTTCGTAGCGCCTACGTGCCCATTTAGGTCACCAGCAACAATTACGACGTCTTCTGACGGTATCTCAGCTGTCTTCTCCTCAAGCAGGGACCAGAACTCGTCCTTGGATCGCTCGGAGCATCCCGTCTGTGGAGCATAGGCAGAAAAGAAATGGTACAGCCGCTGTTCGATAGCAATAACGATCTTCATCAGGCGGTCATCGAAGCGTTCTACGCTTGCTATCGAGTCCCGGAAACGTTGAGAGACTATTACAGCCACTCCGTTGGTGGTTTTTGGTTTGCCACACAAAAGGGCTTTAAAGCCTCGACCGATGTCCCTTGACTTGCAACTGGACCATCTTGTTTCCTGCACACACAGGTCTATACGTCTGCGCTCCAGTGCCTCTGCCAGCTCACATGAGCGCCCCGTCAGCGTTCCAACATTCAACGTTGCTACGCGGACCTTCTCCATGTTGCATGACTTTTGAACTAGCCTGGTTGCCCCCCGATGCCGTCCTTGCATCAGGGACCCTCGCATACTTTCCACACTCGCCGGGCCATACGAGTGCGCGTCGGCTCCCGCGGACGCCGTAGCATTGATTCGGAATTCACATGGCATATTGAACATTGGGATGTGACTTGGGTGTTCGTAGGCCGGCCCGTCACGAAGGCCTGTCACCTGCTTCGGTTGTCTGCGTTTTGCAGCTCGCAGAGGCGAGCTCCCAGTGGCACCGCGTGGAGGAGCAGACTTCACCACCAATAATGTGTAATAAACAATAAGAAAAATCAAATGGCCAAAGCAGAGGTCGCTCTCCACCACCTTCACTGAGAAATCGAGCAGTGGGGACAACGTCCAACCCACTGACGGGAGCGGGCTCGTTGTTTTTAAATCTAATGTTATCAAGTGTGTTACTCATTTCTCGACGATCTCAACACTCCTGCGCTGATGAACAGGACGTTGTCTCCACTGCTCGATTTTCAGTGACCTTTTGAACTTCTGCGCTAGACATCGCGTTTTCGCTCGCACACCTACTATTTAACCCTAGCACTCCCAGTGTTCTTCTAGCAATCCATTTGCTGAGATTTGTCTCATTAATGCTATTGAAATTGGCTTTGAAGTCGACGCATGTGGACTCGGAATCAGCCTGCGAGCGGTGGTTTGGTGCGTTTATCCTAGCAAAAAATGTCAAATATGCTCCAGCGGTCTTAACGAAAATTGTGAACAGTATGGTAGCCTTGTGGACATTGAAATTAGTCCTTCCGCAAAAAAATGTAGATTATGTACTATGTTCCAAGGCGAGTGCTCTCATTCACTGACAAAAATGGTAGGTGTAAAATAGTAAAATTTGAAAGGAATCGCTCCAGTGAGAAAAAAGTTATGGGCGAAAAAGCATTTGGCAGAATACCTTACATTCAACTCATTCGACATTCAACTTACTTAGAAGTGAACCAATGGACTTTGCACGCAGTGCTCTATCCTTGCTGCTCCTTTTAAGACAATTCCCTTCTAGATACATTACTTGAATACCGGAAAGACGTGCCTCTTTTCGCATGTATCCCGTGCACAAGGGATACATGCGGAGGATTAACCTTCCCTGGTATCAAAGTGGTAAAGTATTCTTATCAAGTCACATATAGTACTCCGAGAATTGAGACTGAGCGGTTAGTGGCAGGTGAACCCGTTTACAACGCGCGGGAATCGAAGGTCAAATCCCGAATCACCTCCCGTATAGGCAAACCGAAACTTCTAATCAGCGGGAGACGTAGATTGGTATGAGATCCGTCTGAGAGGACGAAGACATTGATTTTACAATTGGAATGGAGGGGACTGCTCAAAGACTAGAGCTTCATCTTTTGTCTTTATTACATTAATAATGGCGCGAGCGATCTTGTGTTGAGGTCAGGATTTTGTGAGTTGCTGTGGTCAACGACAAACGTCTGGTTCACATTCTGTGAGCATTGGTAATCAAATTGCCTAGATGAAAATCCGAGATAGGAGAAAGAACCAATGTAGACTGATCTACATCACGGAACCCGAATAGCTTAGCCAACAGGTGAGCGGTGCATGGTATTAGGGACTTCTCGTTTCATTATATCAGTTTGGAAAGAAAGTCTTGTTACTGTTGTGATTTCCTTCTTCTTTAATTACTTACTCATCTTCCAACTTGAATTAATCCATAGTATAATCACCGTTGTTAGCCACTACTGCGCTCCATCTAATGGGCACGTCAGCGATACCCCAGTCCCACAAAAGGGGAGGCTGCGAGTCGAAAAAGTCGGCGACTCCTTGACTGATGTCATCAAACTTGCTGAAAGTTTTCCTAGCTAAGAAAGCCCTAGTGAGGCAAAACAGGTAGCACTCGTAAGGTCTATGCCAGGAAAAAATGGTTGGCAGTGTATTCTTGAGAGGCAGCTCGTTGTGAAGCATTCCCTGCGTATGGGAACACATTCACATTCTAGGGACATCCCATTATTTTGGAGTGCGCTAACTCATGCTTTACTTGCTCTCAGATTGCGAAATATTCCCCGTGAAACAGCAGCAGCAGAACATCATCAAACAGCAACAAGGCGTAGGCAATCAATATCTAAGAGCGGCACTCATAGCAGCATATGTTTTCATATCTTTCAGCTGCATCACCTGTGCTTAATGTCGATCAACGAGTTTTTCGAGTCTTTGTTCCTTGTTCCATCCCATAGAATTCGAGAGTTGGTCGTGGTTCAGCGCTTACTATACAATTGCGTGACATGCGGGGCAATCTTGGCGAACACGGCTGTGTCCCAAATCTTCAGTCGTCGGCAGAGAAGGGAGCTACGGACTCCCCATACTTTATGCACGGAGCCAAACATCAGTCGTTTCAAGGCACGCTGAATCACGAACTGCATGTCCATCCTATTGTGAAGAGTCCACGCCTGGATCTGAGGCGACCATAGAAGCAGGAAGGACAGCTGGACGGGCTGAGGCTGAAATTTCTTTGGCTTCTCCAATATTGGCGCGATAGTCCAAATCCTAAATGCTCCCAACGATATTCGTTCCTTCCTGTCTATCTTGAGCGCGACAATAATGATTTATCCACGTAGATTGACATGGTTTGATCATTCAGAGATGTTTGTTTCTTCGGAAGAGAAGAGGCATCGGGGATCCGTTTTTTCACAAACATCGATTGGGCAATGGATGCTAGTGTCCTTTACTTTTTTCACATCAACACAAACCTGCTGGTTTTCCACGTTGCATACCGCATAGATGTCAACTAGAAGAAAAAAATGATTAAAGAAATGACGAAACGTTCAGTGAAAGGACGGCACATAATCGTGCGATAGGGCTTGCGAAGAATGGACACGAATTAGACTTTAAGTACCTACTGCTGTCTCAGAAAAGAGACCCACAGAAGCTGAGCCTCTCTAAAGTATGGTTTAGAGACTTCAGTGAAGCGTAGTGTTGACAGCTATCGAATTATAATGAAGTTACGCAAAGTTCTCACATTATTTCATGATGCATCAGGAAGAATGAGGCAGAGGGCTTTTATTCACGAGATGAATTCAGCTGCTCATAGATGATACTAAAGAAGAGCTCTCCGTGATTTACGCCTCTCACCTGCACGGTTTGTGTAATCAGCTCCGCAACCTGGGACAAAGGAGTTCGCAGCTGGTTGAATAATGTTAAGGACACAAATGCTATTTCTGGAGTCAAAATATTTGCGTCGTCCACCATGATGAATGTTGTGAAAGTGAACAGGGCGACCTGAATCTGCGAGTTAAGATCTGACAATAAGGCAAAATACCTCCGTAGCGAAAACTATTCAACACACCAGGAATGGCGAGGCAGAGTTAAACATATCGGAAAGCGTTCTGAGAAATGCTGCTTTACGAATGAGAGCGAGTTCTTCTTCCCTCAGATCAACGATTACCTGCTCCATAGGAGGCTCCCATGCATACAGCTTTATAACCTGAATTGTCTACCATATACATATATGCATATGTAGAAAATGAATTAAATAAGCGTATTACTACAGTCCTCATCATTGCGGACCGGTGGGGCGTGGCAGTGCGGCTGCGTTTGGTGCGGTTTGGCAAAATCGTTCTGCACCAGTTTTTGAAGCGAACAAGTGCATTACTGTATAATATCCTTCGTATTACTCGTTTTCTACCACTTTTTGTCGCATACGCGTTGCAACAAAAAGGCTGAGAACGGCTTCAACAGTGTGCACACTCCTTCTGGCTGACACGCCCCACCGGTCCGCAATGATGAGGACTGTACTCATCCTCCATAAGATGCAGGGCTTATTGTAGTAATTGTGGTCATTTAAATGATGGAGTTTCGCTTGGTTCAAAGGTCAGCCCAATCAATATCTTTTGCAATTCACCATTTTCTTGGTGTTATTCATCCCTATAGGATGCTCATGAAGAAGTCAGGAGGACAGAAATCCACAAGGTGATCAAGAAGTAGTGGTGAACAAAAACAACTGGCATGAAGTTCATCACTATCACCACACAAAACGGTCTTCTAGTCCGTAGTTGTGAGCATGTCAGAAATCCGGAAGATGTCATATTATTGCGAGATTTCCGTATGCGCCGTGGAGTGCTTACGAGAATCTACGAATTGTTGGAATCGACTTATCGACGAACCCGCCGCAATAAAACAGGCGATGGCGCTGAACTGGTGAAAGTCACTGTTGTCGGTGGCGATCACATATCCTCGACGCGCTCAAGGAATGCTTGGGATACGTCAGATTAATGGGCAGATACGTATTACTCTCAAACTAGAGGGTTGACCATGGTTCAACACTTGGCACCGGTAGTCGCGATCTGCTTTATGAGCAGGATAGGATACCAGTACTGGAACGCCTGCTGCGTCACGCCTGAAATGGGGTATCTGTTTCAGACGGATGAATAAACAGTCTCAGTACATTAGGCTCTCTCGAGAAATACGGAGCGACGGTGAGCTCCCCTCTCCGAGCACTAAGGGGAAAGTTTCCAACGGCTAGCTCAGTGTGAAGTGCTACAGAAAAGCAATTTTCGGGAGAAAGCTTGTTTACACTCCACTTCACAGCAAGCCCGTAAACCACGAGTGCGTTGGAGGTCGTCAGGTTTCTAATACTGCTTCTGATACGACTACTTCAAATACCTATGCTGTACCTGAATATTGCGGAAGAACTCACACTGAGCACCATAATGTACCGCGCGCAAACACGCCCGGTAGCTCCCCCTGTTTGACCATAATATCTACAGAGTGACTGTTCGCAATTAATGCTCTTTGGCTCCGCAGCAACTAATATTAATATTAGTCAGTAATTTCTAGTAGCAATGTTCAAGCCACCAAGGTCAGTAGCAGAACGCAATAAGCTGCTGAACAAACAGCATGCATATCAAAGCGCTTTGTCGTTATAATGGTCCTTAGCAGTTGTAACAGGTGATTGCGCAAAATTAGTATGATCTGTCAAATAGAACGTCAGACATTCAAGCAACTTACAATGGGCAGACGGGAACAGTATTAGCAACATGCATCAAGGAATTATGATTTGCGCTCATAAAATTTATGAACTTCCTAGGAAAGGTGTGGATATACTAGAACACGATCGCCAGCACTTGATTTAAATTGCACTGTTTTTAAGATGTCAAAAACCTCACAATCGTGATGCTGCGAAGATCACACGTTTCAAACCCATTTGGGAGCCATAGTTTAAGTGTCATGGGAATTCAATTCCAGTAAGTTGCTTCCATTCCCAATACAATGGATCTGAAATTGCTCGCGCAATACCTTGGAAGCGTTCTGAATTTTGGCGAAAGGCCCACAAATGCACAGGAAAGAGGAATGTGTAGCCATTACCCGTAAATCTGCACCCTTTGCTGACCTATGCGGTTCCTGATCTACATACGGTCGAGGTTGACGTCGCGGTGTGGAGGTGGCGGCTTACTGTAAGCAGTACTACAGTTTGGGGGGTCGATCATAAGTCAGCTGAAATAAAGCGGCTGAAATAAAGGTAAGCCTACTACCTACCAATACCATTAGGTGATCTGCTAAGATCGCGGAATAGTCTTAGGTTTTTATGAAGGCGTTCGAGGGGCAGATCTGATTTGTTTTTGCACTCATTCAGGTCCTGACGAATCCAAAGTAGCCGATACGACCAATAAATTATAAAATTCTTGGACTGCTGAAACTATCCACTCGCTTGAAGATACATCAATGCTAGTATTAAGAGGAGGTCGATCCTGGTTAATGGTGATGCGGTCGGAGAATCCTTTTGCAGATTTTGGAAGCAAACTTGAGATAAGCGTCGGAAAACGGATCTGACGCTATAGGTTCCATCACAAGCGGCCCTTTCGGTCTAGGATTCATTCCTAGTCAGAAGATTCAGCAATCATACACCTTGATTCCGTTCAGTACTTCGTTTACCATCTTCGTTCGCTCGTCCTTGTAATGCATCTGCTGCATCTGCAAAAAATAGCTATTGTGAAAGCGATCTAAAAAAGCAACCACTGCCCAAACATGACTAACTTGATATTTCCTTATAAGCATGGTGATGAAAAAGTTTAGCGGCAAAAGCATTACCATGATTGAAACCCCACTTAGCACAGACGCACCAATTTGATGCCAAAGAAAAAACAGTGCAAGTCCAATCTGAAAAAAAATTGTGCAGATACAGTGCTGACTCCCACTTGACGTGAGAAGTTCGCACCTTTCCTTCCAATTTGACTTCAGCTTACTTTTCGCAACCAGCTCCCAATGTTTTTATATAGTGCAGTCTTTAGTCCGCTTTGGAGCGGGGGAACTTGAAGGACCATTGGAGGTTCATTACTTGCAGTGAAATCGTGCCAACAACTCGAAGTAGCAGAGCACCACAGTCAATCCTTTCAAATCACGACGATGGTCTTTGCGACCTCGAGACCATCATTGCTACAGAGAATATGAACAGAGTTCTTCTCAGTCACCTTTCTACAAACGCGTGGGCGAAGTGTGGCCGTGTTTTGGAGGTGGTACCCTTACTACTTGGCACTCTATAGTGAACCAGTCGGCTCGACGGCTGACGCCTGCGCGCCTCCTTCCGTGATACGGCCCGGCTTCGCCGCGCTTACCTCCTTCTACACTGGATACTCAACAATTATCCGGCTTTTATTTCACCTGTACACATAGTCAACGCTCCTTGAGCAATAACATCATACCTACTATT